TCCTGCCTTTGAGTAGTTTTGCGTTTTAACTGGATCTGACTGAGCACTTTGAATATCGAAACGTGAAAACAAGGTGAATAATCGTAACGGAGATAAATGACTGTGCCCTTCACGAAAACGCCCTCGCTTTCACTATAGCTATTTGTTTTGTACTTATACCGGTACTCAGTAAAATATGATTGTGCTCAATAACATCCTGATTTTAAAATAGGTTCAAACGGCTTTACTTATTTTACAATTATACTGGTTCATTTTGCAGGTGATTGCCAAGTTAAAGATGTTTTCTTTGGTACCTTTGATCATTCTTCTTAAACTAACGCGAATTGCAGAATGTGCGACATGTCAGGGAAATTGTCAGAATTTCAAGTTTGTCATCGATCAAGATGTTGTCCATGACAACGCCCTTGAAGGTCATGTGGTTAAAAGGATCACTGTGAAGAGCGCCGCCCAGTGCCACATGGAGTGTAGAGACGAGTGTCTGTGTGTCTCTGTAAACTATTTACAAAACACACGGGAAGACAACTGTGAGCTGAATGATTTCAATAAAGAAATGAAGCCAGCTGCATTGAAATACAAACCAGGAGCTCGGTATTATGATTTGGTGAGGAGCTACAGTGTCGAGGTGAGAATACACAGAAAAATGAAACAGTTTCTGTTTTGCTTCGCGAAAAAGCTACATATAAAGACAAAGGCAATTTTGGCAATTGATGAGGGGGAGCGGTTGCACTCAAATGGTGCTAAGTAAAAATTATAGAGGCTATTTTATAAATAGAGCCGCTATCCTTGAAATATATATTATTGATATATCTTTGAAATATCGATTCTGTCCTCATGGTTAATATTGTTCTGCCTGGGGAGGGGGCATGAGGTAAACTCCCCGTGTATCTCCGAAAGTATTCACTTTACGGTAATGAAACTTGTGTGCTGTTTAAAGTATCCGAAAATGTTTATTTTAGTGAGAGTCGCAAGTCAATTTTGTCGTCATATACTGCTGAAAGACCTGAAATGACGTCACACAATTAAATCCGCCGGCCATCTTGGATTTCAAGATTTTTCCAAAATGTCTGAAAATCTCCGAAATTGATTTTTTTTAAAAATGGATGAACATAAGGATGTCAAATCTGTTACGATTTTCGTAGCCTGCAAGCAAGCTCTCTTGGCGTTTTTTGGGGGAAAAGAGAAAGAGCGGGGGAAAGAGAGCTTGCACTAATGTCTCAGAATTTTGAATGCCGCCCCCCAAAACCCCCCGCTGTTTCCAGCTTTTGAGCTGTCAAAATTTGGTCAATTGAAACTTCGTGGTCGTCTCAATTTTCTACGTAACGCAATGCCTTGTATTCGATCTCACACGCTCGAAAGTCGTTTCTCGAAAAGTACTAAACGGGTCGAATCGAAAAACATCTCTATCGATAGGGGTTTCAAAGCGCAGGACAGCTAGAATATTTGTTCCCCGTTTGTTAGAAATTCCGCTCTGAAATTTCTGTTGCAAGATTTTGCATATTTAATTACAAAAGCCAGTGTGTAGTATTTCCCAGTATGCTACGAAAATGATGTTTCTCCGGAACTACCGTACCATTTGACTCGAGAGAGGTATCTTTGGAAAGCATTTTCAAAGCGCTGAACAGAACAAATATTTAGTACGTGCCCCTTCGAAGTTTACTTCCAAAAATTCCTGAACTAATTTTTCTGCATGAGTGATAAACACTAAAGCGTCATGTTTGCTAAGAAGACGTCATCAATTAATTAATTTCCACCAATCAGCATTTCGCGTCGATTTTTTGAGCGCAGATATTCAAAACTCTGAGACATCGTTGCAAGCTCTCTTTCACTTTCCCGCCTCCGCGCCCCCCACCCCCCAAAAAACCCCAGAGAGCTTGCTCGCAGGCTACGATTTTCGAAGAAACTTTTCATTAAATCGAAAATCTCACCAAAACTGAAAATTACGCAATCTGGTTAAGACACTATGTCAAAACATAGTTGCCATAGAACGTCGAGTCACGCGAGCAGAAAATAGACACACTACAATTTGTTCCGATAAGTTTTAGGAAAAGTCACGAAGTTAGGTCATTATTGCTTGAATGTTTTCTAAGTTACAAACAGCTTTTGGTCAGGCCCTTACCGGTTTGTCATCAGCCATTTTGGTTTTATTGCAAGCATATTGCAAGCATATTGCAAGCATATTGCATGCATATTACATGCATATTGCATGCATATTGCAATCAAATCAGCGTTATCCTCGTGTTTACCCTTTCTATTAGTTATGTAAGCTGTAATCAAATTGCAAAAATATTTATTTCCTTTTAAAACTTATGATTCGTAACTAATTAATTGGCACAAATTTTGAGATATTTTCAAGTGGTTGAGAAATGCATCGTTCTGTTTTAGGGTGGAAGACGTTACATGCCTGAAAAAGACATTTGTATCAACAAGTGCTGCGAACCAGATCCATGTTTCCAGGGAGGGGTGTGTCGGGAAATTTGTGATCCTGAGACTGTGAGATTTAACTGCACCTGTCCTTACGATTACACTGGTCAGCGGTGCGAGAATCCGACATATCCCCGAAACTGTAAAGACATCTGGAAAAATGGCGTTTCGACATCTGGAAAGTACAGGATTTATGACGCTCGGAATGAGTCATTTCTGGTGTACTGTGACCTTGAATCCGAACCTGACATTTTCTGGGCCCTCATTCAGTCATTCTCATTTGAAAACAAAACCCATTTTAACACCAAAGCGTTTAATCGTGATTATCCTGTTGATGAAGATTCATTGGAAGTAGACTGGGCCTTACACCGTTTGTCTCTGTCTCACATGCAGCATCTCGCTGGAAACTCGACTCACTTGAGAGTAACCTGCAACTTCCATTCTCAAGGCTTCAATTACACAGACTACGCACGCGCTGACTTGAAAAATCATAACATCATTGTAACATGGCAACAAAAATGCATGTTGTATGAATATCTTAACATCCGGGGAATTGAGAGTTACAATTGTACTGCACTAACAAACCAGAATGATGGAAGCTCGTGGTACATAAACAGTTATACCAGCTACACACATGGTTGCGACTTTGATGGCAGACCAGGTATGGGTAAAGTTGAACATAACTTTGGACGTTATGCCACTCAAAGTAAACCCTGATCACCGCTGCTCGTCAGGTCCATCCTCAACAACCGAACATTGGCTTGGAGTTAAAAGGGACTTGTAGATAACACTGTTGTAGTTTAGAATTGTAAGTATAGGTATATCATACATGATTTCGAGCGTAACCTAACATTTGAAATAGCTTTTTATTTAGAAAACGCGGTTAAGTTACAGATTTAAAACAGTAGCAAGGGGTCACGCCATGTTAAAATTATTAAGCACCCAAGAAAACGCAATTATTGTGCATGTGGCGTGGTCAGCAAATATTTTACTTTCCGTTCGACTAAACAGTAAACAAGAAATTCATTTCTCATTTAAAAAATAACAAACGCAATGCACGTACTGACGAAATCTCAACGAAAAACTCAAGCTACTCGTAAAATTATAAATAATCCAGCCAATTGCTTCCTGTACAAGCTCAAACACACAACGAATTTACGCAGTGGAGCAATGAAGCGTTGTTTCACGACGACTACAAATCTACAAAGAGATATCGAATTGTTGCAATAAGTGTTTAACCCTATTCAGTCTGGGCTTTTTTTTTTTTCGTTGCGTGAGCCTGGGGAGGGGCAGATTGTGCCCCCTATGTATCTCGAAAAGTTTTGACGCTATGAAAATGAAACTTACGTGTCAATTATGACGTCATACACGCCGTAGTGACGTCTACCATTAAAAAAAATCCGACATCTTGGATCCTAAATCTTGGATTTCTAATTGTTCAGAAATGTCAGAAAAATCTCCAAATTTGATCTTAAAAAAATCAAGAAAATATAAAGTTGCTAAAAAACGGCAAAGATGTTGAAAGGATTTTATCGTAAAAAACATTTCATGAAAATTAAGCTAAAAAACCAACACATTTGGGATAAAACGATCTGTATCTCGAAAAGTATCTGTGCTATAAAAATAAAACTAATGTGGTGTATAAAGCATTCAAACATGTTTTTATTTAAATAGCAATCAACAAATTCAACTATGATATCCATATCACGCCAAAATAACGTCATACTTTAAAAATGTTCGCCATGGTTGGGATCCGCCATCTTGGATTTTTAACTTGTTCAGAAATGTCAGAAAATCACCAAATTTGATTAAAAAATCGAAAACAATATAATGTTGCAAGATTTGGCAAAGATTTTGGAAGAAACTCTTCGTAAAAGATGGAATCTCACTGAAAATAAAGCTGAAAATACCAAAATTTGGCCGGGCAAAACGGCCTGTCAAAACTTGGTTGCAATGGAAATATCAAGTCACGTGATCAAAAATTAACACTCCAGGTTGTTTTCCCAGATACTTTTTAGGAAAAGTCATTAAGTTTGGCTATGATTGCTTGAATGCTTCAGTCTCCCCCAGGCAGAATAGGGTTAAACTCAATTCCTTCATTGAACTCAGCTAAAATGGACAACGGAAATGTTTAGTCTCTGACATTGAGAAAACCCAAGTTCATCAACGTGTATGACTAAAATAACTACGGAAAATTTAACATACCAAGCTGAAATTCTACGGTGCGAGTCCATCTGCGGTTTGCATGATTCAAAGCAGTTAATGCCTTGGTAATTCTTACAAGAAAGAAGAAGGTTATTGAATTTAACCGTGCTTACCCTGGCATGGTTTGTATTGTGAGAAAATGTTTCCTTTCCGTTCCGACTTAAGAGTCAACAAGAAATCATTTCTCGATCATGAAAATATATTTCACTGACGCCACTTGATTGCATTACATAACTAGTAGGCATCGCGAAGTCATCATCATCGTCATCATCATCATTGTCCGTCTTTCCTTGTGGAGAATTGGGCTGCATAAAATGCATCTCTATGTGTAAATACCTGAACTGGTTCACTTCCTGCCAGTTGGAATTAAGGTAGGCAGCGTGGCCGAGTGGCTTAGGCGCTGGTTTTGTAATCTGGTGGTCCCGGGTTCAAGCCCTTCCACCCTGCCACTAGCTGGATTTGGTTTGTGTTATCTGCCGAAGCCGAAGACTGAGGCGAATAACACAAACCGAGGCCTTGATAATTTCACCTTGATAATTTCATCATGCGAAAACCGAATCCAATAATTGTTTTATTATACATTTAAGAAACTAAATCATCATATCGGGCTTAACTTGCAGCGTTTTTATAGCTTTTTCCTTCGCGGATTGTGGAGTATTTTAATTTATATTTCGCTGCCGGCGCTAATGAAGCGAACGACACGTGGTACACGTGCATGACGTCAATAAACATGTCCGTAGGTATGACGCGTAATTACATGCATCAATCTTAGTATCTGTAGGTATGACGCATAATTACATGATAAATCCTATGACGCGTCAATTCAATGTCATCGTGAATTAGCTGTATGCTCTCAGCCAACGAGAATAGAGATAGTGAGCAAAATGTAAAATAATTATAATTAAATATTATTGTGTGATGTATTTAAATACAACAAGATAAATGCAAGATGCACAAAACAGACGTAGTGAGACCTTGTTCTGGAAAATCGTGACCAAGCGCAGCAACTTCTCACTGCCCAGGCCTTGTTTACTGTTTACAGTAAAAGATGGATACAAAAATAAGTACTAAAAGAAACGGAAAGACAGTCCAGCGAAGAAGATCGTCTAATGTGGAAAAATATAGAGTGTAAAAGTTTCCTTGCGTTCTCATGAGCGAATACTACTCTTTCCATTTTATTTGGAAACTGAGAGTGTTCGATAAAGGGTTAGCCCAGTTGTTCTTGAATTTCAACATATTAGGGATAGTTTTCGTCTTTTTGTAAACTAATGACTCTGTCAAATATTCCTCGCCAGTTCTTTTCGAGCGGTCGTGGTTGAGCGCATGCTCAGTCATTCTCTCATTCTTCTCTTGATGGTTTTGCCTTAAGTATACGTTTTGTGTTTCTCGCATCTATCTTGGCATTTATTGCAGACGAATGACTTGTTTATATAAGATAAATACATCAAGTATTGACATTTTACTTATGAGACATATCAGGCTCTGCGCGTTATAAGAACATAGACATTAAAATTAAATATTTATAATAAGAAACTGAAAGAAACGTGTAAACTACAGTAGACTCCCGCTATCTCGAAAACAAAGAATTTTGTCTTGCGATTGATTATGTTCGCCAAAAGGAGTATATATCCCACGGTGTCTAAAACTGACATACAGTATACAGTTCCACTAAACAGTACAGTCATTACTGTATTCGCCAAGCACTCATATATGTAAACAGTATTGATTGCTAATAATAGTGAATAAAGAGACCTTCGTGGCAGACTCTGTGAGCACGTCCGACAAGTCAACGATTTGCGTACTGTACTACTGTAGTTCACTTTTTGTTGAAAATTACGAAATTTGACACGACCCTTGCTATCTCGAACCCCCGCTATCTCGAACAATTTTCCGTTCCCCTTAGAGTTCGAGATAGCGGGAGTCTACTGTATAATAATTTACCTGGAGCCCATTGGGCTCCTGAATTTACTATATATATTGTAAAAAGTTATGTAATATCAAACTATTTAACCTTCAGCAGCTTCATATTATGTAATCAGTATGTAATAAACAATTTAATACTGACCTATGAAAGACTGGCACTTTGTTACTTGACCAATTCCAACTTTAAAGCGGTTACCAAAAATAAGTCCTTCTAGCCGCAGTTTTAGAGTTAAAACTAAAAAACTGAAAGAACAACTTAAAAATCACAATCTGCTGATCAGTAGGGACGGAACATGAGCCGGTTTTGGCAAATCTTTGTGGAAGCACTCGAAGAGTTTCCGAAGCTTTTTATACAATCGGAAACAAAACGCGAACACTCACGAGTACTCCGAAAGCCGCGCCAGCAAGGGACGAAACACCGCGGGCTCAGTCCTGTCTCGGAGGCGGGATTTCAACATCTACTGGTGTTCACCCGACGAAACAACATTCCATCTCGTGAACACGATACGGAGCATGCGCGATATTTAATGTTTTTTTGTTTTTGTTTTTGACACACTGTGCATGATAACGAAGAGTGATGACAATTCGCGAAACCACGCGAACCAGTCATCAGATATTTAGGCTCCTATCAATAGAGCTGAAATATGGGCACAAATTCGTAAGCCCAGTTTACGTTTCGTTGCAATAGTTTAGATAGTTTTCTGGTGTATCTTCAAGTTTGCATTCGACACCATGATATGCGCCTGATTCCTTGAAATCCCCAAACACTTTATTATTACGAGTTACGCGGCATTTCGTTACCATGCTCCACATTTTGCTCTAAAAATACTGAAGTTTGTGGGAAGATGAGAGACCCTGGGAACGAGGTTGCCCGCTGATGTGCTGCGTCTCTGCACGAGATTGGAGTCTTCTGTCATCAACTTCTGATAATAGGGCAAGTTTGAGATTAGTAATGGGCGTTCAGAAAGAAAATAAGAAGAAACTCAAAGATCAAAACAACTTCCCAGGGAAGCTTTTAAAGAAAAACTCTTTAACCTTCAGCAGCTTCATATTATGTAATCAGTATGTAATAAACAATTTAATACTGACCTATGAAAGACTGGCACTCTGTTATTTGACCAATTCCAACCTTAAAGCGACCAAAATAAATCCTTCCAAGCCGTAGTTTGTGAGTTAAAACTAAAACTAAAAAAGAACAACTTAAAATCACAATCTGCTGATCAGTAGGGACGGAACAGGAGCCGGTTTTGGCAACCCCTATTGGAGCGATTCCGGCTCCAGAAACTGTGGCACATGCGCCTGATTCCTTGAAATCCCCGAGTTCCGCAGCCTTTCGTTACCATGCTCCACATTTTGCTCTAAAAATACTGAAGTTACCCGCTGATGTGCTGCGTCTCTGCACGAGATTGGAGTCTTCTGTCATAAACGTCTGATAATAGGGCAAGTTTGAGATTAGTAATGGCGTTCAGAAAGAAAATTTGAAGAAACCCAAAGTTCAAACAACTTCCCAGGGAAGCTTTTAAAAGAAAAAAAACCTAAAATATCGTCAATTATCTTTCATTCAAATAATATATAAGGTTTATTTCACAATATATTAGGATTTCATGCAGTGGGAGATAACTTAATGGTACTTCTTCAGCGCACGCATTAGCAATGATTTGTAATTGCGAAACTAAAATACAATTTTAGCATACGCAGCTGACTATTCTTTCAATGGGATTGCCTTTGGAAAGGCCGCGTAATTAAGACAACACAAATATCTCATCAGTGGATCAGGGTCTCTTTTGAAAGTTACATTAGACCAAAACAATTACAAGTTTTGCATTTCTATCATTTTCCCTCACCAAAGCACGGCGTGAGATAATTTTTTTCACATAGTCCGGCCTGTGATTAAAGTCACAGGATGGTTGTTTAAGATCGCGTTTTGTTTTTAATCCGAGCCGTACTTTTTATCGAGACTTACACCTAATTGCAATAACGTTGTCATAGAAGAAATAAAAATGAAAAAAGCAAATAGGAATTAATGAGGCATACAAACTACATTCATGTCGAAGAAAAGGCCTCAAAATACAAGCAAGTCTTCAATTTATCTTAATTACACGATTAATATACAGCTATAAACGTGTGAGTTCTCTGAGAATGCTGCAAGCTTTGATGATTAACCGTTAACATAATTAATCCCTATTTGGCTTTTTTCATTTTTCTTTTTTATACACCTATTTCAATTAACGTTGTCGGATAAAAATCGGATAAAAGCGTAAAGCCTACAAGACAAGACCAAATGGTAGTCTGGGTATTCATTAGAATTTGCATATCGCTGGAAAAGAAACTTGATCTAGACGTTTTTATTTCGCACGTGATGTATTTGGTTTGCCCCGAATTGTATAATTTGATTTTCCTTGTTTTTCACTAGCTGATTCTGCTAAAATTTAGTTTGGCTAAAAGCAGCTTACTTCTACACGTTTAAAACAAAAAGGAAACGTTATAAATAATGTTTTTCACGTTACTTCTCATTAGTATTCGTTGCGTGCAGCAGTTTTCTACTTTACCCATGCTACCTTTCGGTCTTGTCTTGTGGGCTTTGCAGGCTTTTAAAAACATTTATATCCGACAACGTTAATTGAAATAGGTGTATGACAACGTAACTTATTGCAATTAGGTGTATCTCCGATATTGATAAAGCCTTTACTCGGCTAATCGATAACCATCAGTAACACTGAACCAACTCTTCGAGGCTTAGAAAAAAAGTTATATTGCGCACACTACATGGTGCTTGTATTTCATACGCTGAATTCTTATTTAATTTCAAAAAATCAACAGCTCTTATTTAGCTCTCTCTCTTATTTATCATATTTATAAACTGCATTTTATCTCTTTTGGCTTTCCGTGAGTTTTTTATTTTTACCCAGGACCATCCTGAAAAGCACCTTAATTAGGGTGAGATTGCCTCCTGGTGAAATATATTTATTATGAAACCGGCAGAAATGAATGAAACAGAACAAGCATACCAAATTTTAATTTTTAATAACTGCCCTGAATAGAGGCTTAATTTGAACGTACATATTAACCAAAATAGCTGTAATAAAAGAATCAGTCGTTACATGCATCTCCGCCAGAACTAAGTAGAATTCACACCTACAGCAGATAAAGGTAAGTGTAGTCGGGCACTGCTAGACTTTCTAATGTTACAGCCGTACATAGTCTATATATGTCACTTATAACGATGATGTTCGCCAACAGACACATTCACACTGATGAAGGGCAAAGCCCGAAACGTCTGAATATTATGTTACAATTTTGGCACTTTTAGTTCAATATTTTTTATATTTTTTTCAAGTATATTACCAAGTGCCAGCCTCCGAGCTTTTCAGCTCTAACAGGGGCGTAGCCAGCCTTTAAGCCATTAAGCCCAGGCTTAACAGGAATTTCCGTGAGAAAGAAAGGTCCAAGAGAAACAAAAACAAACCGAACGGACATTGCGCTCGCACGATTTCTACGCTATTACAAGATAGCGCGTCGCCCGAGG